TTGGTTGATTCACTGCTTTAATTAACTTTAGTTGCTCTGCAATTTTGGCTTTTGTGTTTTCATAAGTATCAATGCTAAATTGATACTTTCCTTCCGCCAGCGCAAGAAAATTCGCCGGTAGGTCTTCTTTGTCTTTTTGGAATAAGACATCGTATGCGTCTTGAACACGTTTATACCAATTGTCAAAAGATTTACATTTAATTTTCAGAAGATTTTCTGAAAATTCCTATATAGGGGAAGAAGAAGGTGTGGCACAGTATCTTATGAAGCCATCATTTGTTGTGTCAAATGTTTTGCGCACACGGGTAGTGTGGCTTGCATTTTGAGGCTTGATGCTCCATTTGTCTCTCGGCTACTACATGGGGAGAAGCAGCGTTAGTGGCGGGTTGTGCCTTAAGCTGAGTTGGAGATTTCATGGAGGGTATCTTGGAAGAGATACTTAGCCGAGGGCTTTGATTTTTTGACATTATGTAATTTTAAATACTTTTTATTAAAATTTATTGTTTTAAACAAGTCTGCACTTAGATTCGGGGAAACGCGAAGTGGACGTTAGCTACTATCCGAAAGCCATTTAATGAACAAATATAACTTTCACATAGCTGGCAATCAATCCTACAAAGCTTCGGGATTTTATTGGAATAGACTAAAATATCATTTTCTAAAATCTGTATGAAAGACCTTAATTAACTTCTATCTGCCTCAAAAATTGAGAAAAGAATATGGTAATGTTTGCCATCTATTGTCCACTCCGGTTTTCCATTACAGACAAATAGTTTTAAAATTGTTTAGTACTCTTCGTAATTAATATATTGCAGGTGGCGTTTACAATGCCAAACATACTTATTAGGGTTCCCGTCTCGTTAACCTAAAAGGTCGACAATTATGCAATACAATTACTTGTACCTAAAATCATCTTGATGTTGTTATTGAGGCAACTTATATATTGGCCAACTGACCCAAATTCAATGCCTCATCTTATGGGTATGGCATAGCCAATTCCGGCTTATCCTCCGATCAATTGCCAACAATGATCAAATTACTAGAACAACCAACTAAACTAAGAACTGGTACTTGGGCCAGTTCTGAAGAAGAAAAGACAAAATGCTATGCAAACTATCTCAGCGAAGTATTCCAACCCAATGCAGCAATGAACAATTCTCATCTGAAGTAAAATTCATAGCAAAAACGTTAAATATAAAAAATTCGCCTGATAGCGACCGCATAACAGCATAAATACTAACCGAGCCCAATTATTGCTTTCAATTTCTTGCTTAAACTCTGTAATGTTATCTTTGAACTTGAGTATTTTCCGAATGCATGGAAAATGACGCAGATCATAATGATAGCCAAACTTGGAAAGACGCAAGGCTGCCCTCATCACATCCACCAATTAGCATGTTGCCCGTTCCTTTCAAACTTGATGAAAAAGTGCTGCTATGATAGCGCATTTTCTTCACGAATACGAACCTATACCAAACCATCAATTTGGTTTTCGCAAAAGTATGGCATAAAGGACTTATGTATATGCAAAACTAATTTGACTTTGCTAAAGAGTTTCCATCAGATCTGCATATAACACCTTACTAACAGAAGGCTTACAGTTAAGGTAAAGGAATTTACCTCAGCCCAATTATGGCAGGTATTCATTAATGCAGCGTTTGGGTACCAATACTGTATGTCTTATTTACTGCAAACATTCCAACGTACGTAAGGGTATTGACTTCGACATTCGCATACTTGTCGGAGCAAGTGCCCAATAAAAGCCTCAATTACCCTAGAAAATGACTTAAACTCGTTGAAAGTTTGCATAAAAGTGAACGAGCAAAAATGTAAGCATTTCACATTCACTCTTAAACACAGAATGTAAGCAACGTAATGATCCCTCAAGCAAGTGACATCCACCGAGATATGCGGTTTACCTGGAAGTCATATTTCTTCTAAAATATAGCACTTCTAACTTAAAACCGCCAGCCTAAATTGGTTACATAGTAAAAATTCAGGTTTATGCTTGAATCATAAAATCCTTCTTTATAAATCCGTCAATAAGGTCAATATGAATTTATGTAATACAATTATGGGAGCCTGCGTGCGCAACTAGTATTCATAAAATGCAGCGATTCCAATAAAAAACGCTACTATACCTGACAGGTGCGCAACGAAAATATACATAGAGACCTAAAAATACCAATGGTAGACGCTGAAGTGACAAATACCTGGCAAAAATATCTGCCGAAATTCCAAATTCATCCGAATCCTCGAGCGAACGTTTTATCCTGCCCAGGAAGTCAAACTCGCCTTCGAGGTAGAGATCTGCCAGTATATTGAAGCAGTAATTTATAAGTTATAAAAATTCTAAAACTTTTTATTAGGCTTTAATTAAGCAGATGCAATAAACAAATTTCTTTGATCATATGGCCTGGGAATATACTAAACAGTTCATCAATGATCATTGGATGAATCAAGTATCCGTTATGACACAATGCTGCATCGTCGCTCTATAATTTTGAATGCCTGATGTGAGATCGCTTAGGGTATTCAGCCGATCTATTCTCACTGCGAGCATCTATCTCAATTTGCGTTACAATGTGTTGTGAATGACATCTGGTCAGCTGAACAGCATGTACAATGTGTCAATGGCCAAATGGATTGTAATTAGGACATACCCATGCTTCTGGACGAATGAGACGAGGAAAATTGAACTGATGTATTGGCTATGGTCACAGGAATGTCCAACATGCCTAATTTGGGCACCGATTTTCACACTTTGTGGAAATAAAAATTAAATTTCACTAGAATACAATTATTCAGGAACAACTATTTCAGAATGTTGGCGGGTTGTAAGCTTAACACTAATTATAAGCGTATATATAAATACAATTCTATTCAATATTTCAATATATTGTATATGTATGTTTGTTAACGCTGAAAGAATTGTGCTTCTCGTGGGTGCATACACGTTTAACTGCCAACGCCAACGAAAGATGGAGTATAAAAGGACATATATTCACGAGGTCGCATAAACATACGTGTATATGAACACGTACATTTTTTAAAATTTAAGTTCTTATGGTTCAATTCAGTGTTGCTCAACAACACGAATTACACAATATCAAGTAAATTGGCCCATAAATATGTTTAAGCCTACTGAATATACATAGGAATTATCTTAAAAAACGGTCAAGGCGTTTCAAAGGAGATTGGTGAAAACACTGTGATACTGAGTTATAAGGATAGGTGTATATGTACATATATAGATGTAAAAATTAAAAGAGGATCCGTTGGTTTGATCCCTGCCATAAAAAGTCTGATGAGGAGATGTGGAGATCTTCGAAACAGCTGTCACTTCTACAATTTTTCTTTGTTGTATAGCAAAATGTTATGATAATATCATACAAACAACCAGGAATTTAGTTTACTTAATACTCATATCAAAAATTGTTATGTAGCATGGCCGCAAAGAAAATTATGAAAAAAGATAAGTAATTTGGTAATTGTTATAACTTTCTTAATTTTGTATATCGGAGGCGGCTTACAGGACTATGTCGAAATACCAAAACTTACTTTGGTATTAATATTTTCCAATCAGTAAATTTTGTTACTATTTCGTGTTCTCAGTTCACCGTCACCCTGTAATTTTGGTTACCAGCGAAATAGGAGGAAGCAAAAAATCTAATGCTTGATTTCGTGTTGTTATTCGAGAAAAAATAAAAACATTGCATATTTAAGGCATAGAATTCATTGAAGATGAAGAAAAAAGTGCAAAAAGCGTATTTTAAGAAGTTTTCGAGAAAAAATTATACTTTTAATTTATTAGATAGCTTTTTCATTCAGCTTTTTCTGTCGATCAGCCATATTTTCCATAATTAATTAACAAATTAATAAAACTTATTTATTTTTTTGCGCACCGTCTTCAATTTTGATGTGAATACTCTTGTTTTTTACTTTACCAACTGGCAATGTAATTTTACAAGGACGAAAATAGCAGTGCTGCCAAATTTTTTTTTTAAATTGTAACCAGCTCGCCAGAATACTAAATTTAATCTCGGATGTTAAAAAAAGTAACACAGTTTACTTTACCGGTAACAATGAGAATAGTCCTGTCGCTATAAATTGTAGGCCCCTTCATGTGTTTCAAAAATATCAAGACGCAAATTGGAGAGGAAGCTCGGCCGAAAAACGCACCAATTGTTACAATGCGCCAATTATGTATATATAGAAAAAGACAACACTTTTTTAAGACTTCCCTCGAAATTCTCGTACGTTTTAAGTCGTAACTCCATTTTATATACGCAAGACGTGTTTTCTTTCATCTTTAACTATTGGCGTAAGCACTCCTTACATTATTATTGCCGAATTAACTGCAGCGTGCCATTTGTTTCTTCTTTTTTGGCGCCAATAAAATACCAAGGAAACCTGTTCGCTTTTCTTATGACCTTTCCAACGGAGTTGAGGCATTCCTCTTCTTTTGATTCCACCGGCAGGCGGGATTGCATTCAACCATCTGGACGACATGACCTGTAGCTTTTTTCGCTGAACTATGTCAATATCGTGATATATGTTTATCGTACAGTTGTTGTAAATAAAGGCAATTATGTACGATTCTAAAGCTATGACTCGACAGTGAGCTGGGATCCAAGACAAATGCAGTTTTTTAACTACCGTACGTAAAAATGAACAACCCATATAATTTGCAGATTTTATGAACAAATCATCGAATTTATTCATTAAAAATTTGGCCCATTTCTTAATTACATTTACAGCTCGAATCGCCCCTTAACATTTTTTTTCTTTAAAATTCAACATATCTAACTGAAATTGAATGATTAATAATAAATTTGTTAATAATGCCTAAACACCAGTCGCTAAATTGAAAAAAAAAATATGGAAGAGGAACTAGTTAGTGTAAGAATGCAAACAACAAATATCACCTACATATTTATATGATTATATGTTTTCGAGTATATGTTTTAAATGACATTTTCGAGCTGAATTGTACTTACTTTCGACATATCAGGCAACCGCTTTAGACCTAGTCCATCCATTATCAGTTGGAGTAGTTTGCTGTTATCTTCATTATTTTCGTTTTCGTTCAGATTAGAGCTCCTGCGTATAATGGTGTTCTCGCCATTGAATGTCATTTTACTTGTATAGTCGTTAGCAGATATATTCGTAGTAGTGGGCACATCATCAGCATATATTATAGTGCTATAACTCACATCGACGAATGCTTTACGGGAATTGAATTTTGCTTCTTTTTCGAATGTGTTCATCGATATTGTGTTGTAGCTAGCTGTTCCATTTTCAGTATTGTAGTTGTTATTGATAACGGTATCGACTGCATACCGTTTACTTCGTCGATGTTGTCGGTTCGTAGAGAGTTCAAACATACGGCGAAGAGCTTTGTTATTGGGGTCGAAAGAATCATTCGTTTGCTTTGGGATAGAACGCAATAATCTCTGTTGCTGAATAAGTCGACCGGCGTTTCTTTGTTCTATATGGTAGATAGCTTTCGACTCGGCATTTTTGAAAGGAAATTTATATTTTGTCTTGAAAGCGACGGTGCTCACGGAATTGTTCCAACTCCGTAACGACTTCATGGCAATAGTGGAATCAGAACGCTTTAGAGACCATTGAGTTTTGCGAAACAATGACTGAGGGTAGTATAGTTTGTGTCGTTGTCTAATTAACGCTCTGCGTAAGTTGTTGTTAAATGCCTCTCCATTACTTAAATCAAACGATGTTACAGCAGCCGTTATAGTTCCAATCGTTTTATCTGCATTTGCTGACGCTGTCGTCGTAGTTGCTGCTGCAGCCATCGGCTGAAGAAAATATTGTCTGACCAGATGGTGTGATGTCAATATTATGAATAAATAAGCTATAACGAAGAATGCATTTCGTATTGTAGTTGTTGGTGTTTTTATTGTAAAAAGTTTATGTCCCACTTTAATTGGCATTGACATTCGCTCGCTAGCATTTGTTTTTACTGCGCCATCTAAAATTGCCGTCTGCCCCAGCTGTTCAGCAACAAGTATACTTGATGTTATTGTTAGGGTTGTTGTGTACGCGTCAGCATGGGCTCTGTAGTTAACATCTGACTGCGACATTGTCGCCGACGCATTCGTTGATATTGTATCGCTAATTGATTGCGTAGTTACTGCTACCGGCAGTGGAGTTTTTAGCTCAGTTGCTGATATTTTATTCCGGTTTGGTGTACAACCAGCCTTAATTTTCCCGAGCCGTGAGCTCCAGTGAGTTTTTCGCGCTATCGATAAAATTTTATTTGGCGTTTGTTGCTTGTTATATTCTAGTTTTAAAATGTTTTGCTGTTGTTGTGGATGACGATCATGTAATATGTTGCAATGGCAAGCCCAGTTTTACAAATTTTGCCCTCTTTGCGTTTGTGAGTGGACCTTCGTGTGCTGATGCAGCGAATATCGGATTTGATATCTGCAAGGGAAAAATGCAACATTTCGGCCGCAGCCCTATAAGTGCTTTCTGGCGTAAATACAGCTGATGCTGCTGCTTGACTTGATATAGAGTAGATGAAAGCGTCTGTATCTATGACGTCTCACGGCTATTCTTTTGTCCTTTTACCATCTGTAACTTAAGCTTCACGGAAATTACAATAAATTTGTGAGATGTCAATGTTAACTTTTAACGATACACAATATGAATATAAAAATTTATCGATTGTTTTACTTAAATCATATACACTCGACTTAAAGCTGGATCATTGGCTTTGTGCTTGTGTTTTCACTGTTGATCTTGTTACAATTTTGCTGTAGTATTTAGACTGAACGGCTTAATTTTTTTTAAATTTTTCTATAACACATTTTAATAGCAATGAGTTTATCCTAGCAAATCTTTGTGGTTTCGATATAACACAGAAATATTAGAGAATACAGTGTAAGGATATCTTGCTTACATTGGGCCACTGAATTAAAAAACTACAAAATCGAAAAAAAAATTTAACTATTGTTTTTCTATAAGTACATTACAGATATTCAATTTTGTTCGCAAACAGTTCGTTTACGAATAAGCTTTACGCTTCAAAAAATAAGTCTAGTCGGCTAAATACCGGCTATGTCTTGCCTTACCTACAATCCTTGCGTGGAACACCTAAATATTGTATTTTGTACCATATTAACACTATTACTTCTCTTTTTGACTCAAGCAAGCTGTACATGCTCTAAACCAAATTTAAGAGTTAATGCAATTTTTTTAACCTGGAAAGAAATTTTCCAAAAACAAACCGGTAGTTCGACAAATTTCGGCAGCTCTTTTTCAAAGATTAAAAATTTTACTTTTTCATCCTTTATAATAATCGAGGTTTTAAATTTTTTCGAGATCCATAAGAGCCCCGAACATAACGGTCACAATTTGAAATGTTTACTTTTTCATTCCTTCTCTTAAATTTAAACGAGATATTAAAATTTATTATTAAACAATTTAGTTATTTCGAAAAGAATGCAGATAATAAGTGTTACAATAAAAATGATTTCTACGATGTTGGTCGCGGATTGGATTGGTTGGAATAGTGTCAAGCGACGTTATTATACTAGTGCAGGAAAAGGCGATGGCGTCACGTTAAGGATTTTTTCATTGTTAAGTAAGCCACCGTGTTAAAAAACCAAGCAAGAAATAACATTGTGCTGCATATCTTAAGTAAATGATACCCGACTATGACCAATGATTTATTAGAAAAAACATGGACAACAAGAAATTAAATTGCATTAATTGATAGCATCATGTTCGTAATTAAGTTAATGCCATACCCATATGACTGCACAAGATTGAGAACACTCATACCACCTCAGGGAAGGATTTTTCGAGCCATGTGTGTGTTTGGTGTGGCTTGACACTTTAGATAATATAATATGTGATTTCAAGATGTGATGTTAAAAATGTCAAATATTCTAGAAAATTAATTTGAAAAAACGTTGCGAACTAGGCATAGTTTGATTTTTGCGTTCTCTGCAACAACAAATATATACGAAAAGTTTTCTTGTTTTTTCTTTTTTTTTGTTTTGAGAGTTGATTAGCATTTCATCTTCACTTCCGAAAGTTCATCCCTTCCAAAAATTTGCTAAAGGGAATCTACTAGCCTTACTTGTGTATGTCCACGCATATACATACATACATATGTAGATATGAACGATTGCGTTTATAAATTAATCCGTATATCTTCTTCTTCTTTATTGGCGTTGGCCCCGCAGGTCTTCCCAAATTTACTAGGGTATTTTACTACGTAATATTTGGTCCTGAATGCACATGCCATACGAACATTCATTTTCACAAATAGTTACATTTATTAAAAATTAATTATGTTCCCATTATTTATTTAGTGCTGGAAGCTTTAAAATTTGCGTTGAGTTAGTATACATAGTGTATACATATTTATTTATTACCGTTAATAAAAAATATGGTAAACTTTTAACAGCATCTCTGCATCATTTTTATTAGTATTTAAACACTCATGTATATGTATGTATTATATAATGTCCACGTATACGTAGAATATTGCAATAGATCAAAACGAACGTATTATTTTCGGACGTTTGAAACAAGTAACAACACGAACATCCGATACCCGCCAAGTTATGAGGTGAACTAATCTTTTATCATTGACAATGCCTGCATATGTGCTCTGCTCCGCTCATCGATATTTCATATTTAGCTTACGCGCTATCGGCGCATTTATCATATTCTCACGCATTGCAAGAACAACGTGAGGCAACGAGAGAGGTAGGGAATGTATATTCACTGATCACTCATACAAACCTAAATAGATATTTATTTTTAGATTTACATACATATATATATGCATGTATGTATGGCCATTATTTGCTAGTAATATTCTGGCAACAGGCATGACTTTATAACCCACTTTAGGACAACTTTAAATCTTTTCAGTCCTCTTTCGAAATCTAAAACTATAACTTTTGGGCAAAGTTATTTAATTTCATAGGTTTTTAAATTTTATGGGCCAATAATAACTGTAGTGTTTCTCCGAAATAATCAAAGTATTTTGCTTTATTTTATACAAAATTTCAATAAATAACTTAATTAATGATATATCCTACCTGAAATAATGAAAAAACAACATTCATTCTGGATTACTCTTAAAAGAATCTTCTACGAGATACATTCATGCAATCTTTAGCTATATAAGAGTGAAGCGCACATTGCTGGCATGTTGAGTTGGGCTTGGAATCTGGTTTTGACGACATCGGCATAAAATAAAAAGTTGTATAGTTAGTAAACTAACTGTTTGCAGGCAAATAAAAGAGCGCTAGAGCCGTCGTATACAGTGAAGCCAATAAACCCTTGCAACTAAGAAATCGCAAAACGAATTTTTGGACTTTTATTTAAAAATCCAATGAACGAACTCGAAGAAATTAGGGATCTTCGAGTCGTATTTAAGGAAAATTGGTGTCAGAAGTGGAAATGTTAAATAAATGTCGATGAATTAAAACAGAAAATAATGAAGATTCAAGATTTGGCGATACTACCCCTCAAAAAGGAATTGGCAATGAGAAGATGAAGGCAGTGACTTGAGTTGCGAGGACGAGGAGGCTTCCATCAAGGATGTATAAAAGGAGAAAGCTGTTGATTCTGCGAAGGATTTGGTGCAATCATCAACTAAGAGTTATGAAAAGGTTTTTACCTCATCTACTGTTGTAAACAAGAGGGTGCTATTAGACGCAATATGACAAATGAACGTCAAAACAGCTGAGAGCGCAGGACGCCCGTTTGTCTGAGATGTCAGAGCGTGTTTTACTACAGCTTCAAAATAAATTGGCCAAAGGTTACACCGAACTCAAAAGTTCTAGGAGCGGCAAGGAAAAACATAGGAGCTATATAAGGTCAACATTTGAATTGTTCCCGAACGATTTGGAAAACCTTCTAAGTTCATTTAAACAAAATCAAGACAAATCTCTTCAAAAATTCTATATATCTGAATCTATGTACAAAATTTTCGGATCCGATCATTCAAATTATCGGAAAAAGCTTTTTCTATTTTTATTTATGAAACCTTAGAGCTTGAGACGTTTCCATATGAACGCCAAATATACAAAATCCATATGGTAATATTTAATTAACTAGCTGACCCGGCCACGCGCTGCTGTAGCTAAAGTTTTTGTCGTTTTACAACATTTTGTAAAAATTATAGTTATCTCCATGAGATGCTTTCTATTACCGTAACTCGTTGATAGAATGAAATTATTTTTTACAAATAAAGTCGGAAACGTTGAAGCTGGTATAAAATTCTATTGTATTGGGATTTAACTACGATTGATTCAATTTTTCGTACAATTGATATTAAGCAAAAATAAATACAAAATAATGATTTTGAAAATTTATTATTATTTTTATTCAATTCTGTAACAAATGAGTGGATTACAAAGCTATTAGTAAATAACATGTGACATTTAAACTTATGAATGAGGTAGAAAGGGCAACTAGTCTTAATTCTTAAACAATAATATTTATTCTTTTGAGTTATAAATACTTTTAATTTCTATTGAATTTAGCAACGATTAGCGCTATATACAATATTTATCCCCATACGAAAACATGCAACCTGTTTTTGCCCATAAGAAAGACATGGACTTTCCGAATCTAATACGGCTTGTGACATTTACTACATCGGCTATAATTTAAATTTGGTGTTGGATTTGTGGTGGGAGAGAGACTCCGTCGTTGAGTACTGGCATTCACCCTGGTGGATGAGCGTCTCGCTACAATCCGCATCTAAGCGAAATTGTTCAACATATCGCTGATTTGTTGTGGTTGTTAATGCAAAAATATTCCCTAAAGTACTTTTTGGGGATTGTTGCGGTAGTGACTTTCTTTGGACGGATTAAAATCCGGGTCGTTCCAGTATAAAGCCCCGACAGTCGCATGAACTATAGGATTTTAGTAGCTGATTGGAGCCCACGCCCCTAAGGAAGAGAAGAACATTTTGGCTTAAGATGCTTTCTATGAGTGCCTATAGCATACCTTCCAGCGCTGCAAGACGTGAAAACCATGCTTGGCGATTTTAATGCCAGGGTTTCCAAAGAAGTTATCTTTGATACGAACTCAGCCCTCACAACGGAACTTCCTCTAATGGGTTGAAGCTGATGAACTTCGCCGGGTCCTGAAATATGGTTATCTGTTGTACTAGATCCCAGCACAAAAATATACATCAAGCAACTTGGCTGCCGCCTGATCGAAAAACACAAAACCAGTTCGATCATGTTTTGATAGGCGGAAGAGATGTCTCCAGAGTTCTTGACGTGCGTACACTCCGAGGACCCAACATCGACTCGCACCATTATCTTGTTGCAGCGAAGATACACATGTGCCTCTGTGTATCGAAGATCGACCGTCAGCAGACACAAGGATAGTTCGTCGTTGAAAAGCTGCAATCACAGCACGCTGCCGAATGATTTTCTGCTCGATCTGCACTCCTGCTCTCTGAAAGCGCGTAAAGGTCGCAAAAACAGCGGATACGACGAGGACTGTCATGTCGCAGTGGAGAGAAAACAGACTGCCTACCTAGCAACCTTGCGATCGACCACAACACCTGCCGTATGGGATAGATACCGACAGATAAAGAGAGAAGCAAGACAAATCTACAGACCAAAAAGAAAGAGGCCGAGATGCGTGAGTATGCAGAGCTTGAGGAGTTGAACGACAAGAGTAATGATCGAAAATTCTATGAGAATATACGACGACTTACGAAAGATTTCAAGACCGGAGAAGACTCTTGTAGGACACAAAGTGGTTATCTAACCATCGATGCCCAGAGTATATTGAATTTAAGGAGGTAATACTTATCCAACCTGCTGAATAGTAGTGAAAACAGAGAATCCGGAGATGGTGAGCCCGAAACCCCAGTTGATGAAGATGGAAAAGAGGTTCCATTATCTGACCATCAAAAAGTTCGAATAGCAATCACCCGCTTAAAAAACAACAAAGCGGTGGGAGCTGACAGCCTACCTACAGAACTATTCAAACATGGCGGTGAAGAGCGGACAAGGTGCATGCTTTAGCTACTTTGCAGAATATGGCCGAACCAAAGCATGTCCGACGATTGGCATTTAAGTGTGATCTGCCCAATCCATAAAAAAGGGGACCCCGCAGTCCGCGCCAATTATCGCGTGGTGAGCCTCCTTAATATCGTCTATAAGGTCCTGTCGCGCGTATTGTGTGAAAGACTGAAGCCCACCGTCAACAAACTGATTGAACCTTATCAGTATAGCTTCAGACCTGGTAAGTTAACCACCGAGCAGATATTCACCATGCGAAAAATACCAGCGAAAAGAGGATCAACACTCACCACCTTTTCATCGATTTTATAGCCGCCTTCGATAGCATGTAAAAGAGCTGCCTTTACGCCGCTATGTCTGATTTTGGTATCCACGCTAAACTATACGTCTTTGTAAGCTGACGCTAGACAGCACCAGAAGCGCAGTCAGAATTCAGAAGGATCTCTTCAAGCCGCTGGCCGACTTGTCTCCCACGTCCCTGTTTAAGTTGTAGATAATTTCGTCTATCTAGGAACCAACATTAACACCAATTATATCGTCAGCCCTGAAATCCAGCGGAGAATCACTCTTCCCAACAGCTGCTACTTTGGACTGAGCAGCAATTGAAAAGTAAAGTCCTCTCCCGACGAACGAAAACCAAACTCTACAAGTCCCTCATCGTGCCCGTCCTGCTATATGGTGCGGAAGCATGAACGATTACAGTATCTGATGAGACAGCGTTAGGAGTCTTCAAGAGAAAGGTTTTGCATAAGATTTAAGGTCCTTTGCGCGTTAGCAACGGCGAATACCGCAGACGATAACACGATGAGCTGTACGACTTATAGGCGACATTGATATAGTTCAGCGAATCAAGAAGCAGCGGGTACGCTGGCTAGGTCATGTAATCCGTATGGATTACTCCGTTAGAAGGAACAGATAGAGAAGGACCTAGCTGTTCTTGGTATTTCCAATTGGCACCTAACAGCAAAAAGAAGAAACAAATGACGCATTGTTGTAAATCGGCTATAATCGCGTAAGCGGTATCTACGCCACGTAAATTAAGTAAGTAATATGTATTTTCCACGGCATCGTGAATTACTTTGTTCGCTCTCCCAATTACTATCGTGTATTTAACCCATTCACACGGCATGCATTTCACAGTTCCTTGTTTCGTCATTCGGTGTTATTTTAACTCATTTGAAAATGGAGGGATAATGTAAGTTTTTGTAAAGTTTGTGAAGTAATGATTTGTTTTTGATTATTTTCTTACTAATTATTACGTCTTTTATTTTAGTAACAAGGAAAAATGCAAGTAAGTGGGAGCAATCAGGCTTTAATTGAAATATAAGGAACGAAAATGAGTGAGCTGCGCGGATGCATGTATATTGTTACGATTTTACTAAATCAACCTCGATGATTTCCCAAATCCTTCGGGTACGATCTCTGGATTGTTAAATAAAACTCGCCAACTTAATTTGCAGTTTCTTTCGTTATAAAGATTTTATCTAATGTCCTTTATTTACTCCGTAATTCACAATTCAATTACAATACACTTTACTATTTACAATCACTAGTATCAACTTTCACAATTTACTCT